TACATACATTTAAATAAGCTTGATGAAGTCCTTGGTCTCTCGCACCTTTCTTCCCTCCTTCCCTTGCTTGCTCCTTGACCCTTTCCCTCCTCCTGCTTCTTTGCAGTCATTTCCAGAGGAAGCAGTCATTCAGAAGCCCCGGATTGATTGGTTGCCTGGGGCTAATCCACAGCTGTAACCAATCAAGCAGGTTTATCTCTGATCTCTGAACAAATGGAGGATTTACAAGTGCCCTGGTGCAACCAAGGAAGTAACAGGGAGATGTGGCTTACAATTTGAGGTTTGGCTGCAGAGGGTGGGGGTGGGAGGGAGGGGGTAGCACTCCACTCATTACCCCCAGGATTTTCACTTTTACCCCATTTGGGGTAATTTACCCCTGTTCCCTGACCTATGTCCTAAAGCACTATAGCCTTAGTCTGTCAAAGCTGCTAGTAAAGGTAAAATAAGTGGAATGGGTTAACCTCAGTTTTTGATCAGATGACCTAGTCTGCAACTTGAATGCAAGCATGGAAGATGCTGATTTGTTACATGCATCAAAATATATGAATATACAGTTCATGGCTTCTACCAAATCCTAATCTAAACAGTAAAGGAATTTACAAGTTCTAGTTGGTTGCAAAGCCTGGCACAGCTTGGAAAAGACTTTTAAATAGTCAGGCTTAACCAGGAGGAACCATGCCTTCAATATCCATTTGTTGCAACTAAGGCCACGGTTATGCCAGGGAAATGTCCCCCTGTTCTAATGATACATTTCATATCTTTGTTGTACTGAATCGTGGTCATGTGGTATACCTGGATGAATGTCCCAATGTGTTTTAACATTACTGATTCATTTTCTCTCCTTTGAATTGTTATGACACCATGGTACCAATTAATTTTCTCTCATTTTGGGGGGGCGCTGCAGCCCCTTTAATTTTTTTTTTTAAAAAATGATATGTTGGGTAGGGTTCTTGTTCAGTAAAATGTCCTTTCCTGGGGCTAGTGTCTCTGGAAGAACTGCACTGCACCAGGGCCGTGTTGCTTGCCTGATAGTAGGTCTGACTGTCCTTTAAGCTGGAATTGTCCTTTAAAGTCACTGACAGAAGTTTACCATGTCGTATCACTAAGGAATATATCGAAACACCATTGAAACAACAAAAAAAAGAAACTTTCCGGTGAGAAAATATAATTACACGGCTGGCCAGGAAAATGATTCATTAATGGCCCTACATCATCTGGCTGCAAATTCATGCAACAACCTAACAGGGATATAACTTGGGAACATTTGCCTGGTGTGACCTTGGCTTCAAGTATCATACAACAGCACACACCAACCACAAGGTATAAAACTGCTTTGTCAAGAGATGTATTGACTACTTTTCTAGATGAGCCACTGGATGGCACTCTAACACTATATAAATAGTCTCTCTGGTTGTAACATATTCCAGTCCTGTAAAATGCATATGATGAATATAGCTGAAACTTCCGTCTTTTTAACAATTAAAACCACCAAACAAACAGTAGCAACATATTCTAAAGTTTTATAAATCACTGGCCAAAATCCTGTTGACTACCTTCACCTGCATAATTCAAAGCTGCGTAAATGATTGCATAATTCACAGCAAGGCAAAATGATATCTAGCAAACAGCTCCGCAAGTGGAGTTCTTCAACTCTTTGCACAATGATTTGTGCTATCAGACGCAGAATTTGTATTGTCTGCAAGCATCCTTAGGAGTAAATTTGCAGTTCAACTGCAATCAAATTTCAGCCATTGTGTTTATGCCTCATAGAATTAAACATGTCTCTACAAATGAAAAGGTATAGATTGAACACTCCTGAAAGAGAAATAGATATGCTTATACTCATACAGTGCTTAAAATCAGAATGACCCAATTTAAATCAAGGAAATGTACACCAATACTTCCATTTCTTGAGAACATGAAAATGGAAGTGCATCTTCTCTAATTTGCCAACTCTTGAATAAACACAGTATCTACATTAAATTTAAAACAGCAAGGCTGGTGCTACCCGTCTGAACACAGATGGTATATCTCCTCACTTCATTATTTTCAAAAGCATTTGGCTGGTGGAAGTCACATAACACCATATAATAAAACATGGATCAAAGGTACTATGGGTTTTTGGTAAAGCAAAACAAAGCTCCTATGGAGATAGGATATCATTTTCAAACAAATTGAGTCTATGTGGCTTTCTCACTAAAGTAGTTGAGTCACAACACTAATAATTAAATGAATCCATACAATACTGCATTAAATACTTGCATGTGGACTAAAGCTACACCTAAATGATCCTAAATGAGTGCCAGAAGCACAGCTTATAAAAGTTACTTTTGGTTTCTGCCATATCCATGTTGGCTGGGTGAAATTTAGGGAGTTACTTCCCTCGGCTCTACTTGTGAGATAGAAAGCTTTAAATTTACCTCTTTTCCAAGACTGTGTAAGCACCTCCCTTCGTCATGCCCTCCTACAGCCACTTTCAGAACCCCACTGGGGTAAACAGATCTGATAGAGCATTTGCTGTGGGCAGGAAATAATTAAACAACACCCCCACCCATGCACAGTGCTGCTTTCTACACTTGACCTTCCTTCTCCCCCACCTTGGAATATAAAGTATAATATTTGTCACAACATAACACATTTGAGACACCATGTTTATTTCAAAACGTCAAGTATTGAAGGGCTCACTTCCAGACAGATTTTTGCAACAAATCCTGTCCAAACTTTGTTTTACATTAATTTGTACAATGGTTTTGAAAATTGTTCTTTGTTCCTTTGAGACATGAGGATTAGTAAAAAAAAACCTTCAATAAAAAGTTACCTATTCCACACAAGTCCATCACATCTGCATTTTTGTTACCACAGACACAACAGCTAAACGCGTTCCCATCTGACACACTCAGAAATATATCCAATATAACATTAACATTTTTAACTATTTTGCTCCTTGAATCATACAGTTTCTTCTTTCTAGGCATCTCATTGTAAAAATACCCAATATATCATTGTTTCACTTGAAGTCAATGGCAAAAATCTACTTTGCTTCAGTTTTGGATGATGTGAGAAACTATCCTAGTAAAAAATGCTAACTGGTTCAAAATTGCATATTTCATAGAATATATAACTCATCCCTGCAGTGTTTGTTTTTACACAGAGGTATCACATATCTCCAGTGAGTCTCAAGCCTATGTTTTTAACTATACACTGCACATTGTTATATTTTTGTCTATCCAGTGCTCTTTGCAAGAATAACAGTATATAACCTTTTAAAGGTAATCAGTAATCACAAATGAAAGACACAGTTTTTCTGTTTCTGCTAACACTGTCATCTCATTCAATCAATATTACTTAGAACAACAATGATATGGTCCATACAGAAGGAACATCAAGTGTCCAAAATGCATGTTTTATGTCTGCTCAAAAGGTGCCACGAGAATCATAAAAACCTGTCACTGGCTATCACATCAGCTTATGAAAACTACATTACAATTTCTTTGAACCATTATTCTCTTTCTTCAGAAAGCTACAGGTCCAAAACCTTACTTGCTGAGAATCAATAAATTACAAAGAATTCTTTAGGCTAAGATATCTAAAAAGACTGCTTTAGAATCTCTGTGATGTTGACCAAACAACTCACTTGAGGAGCTGGACTGTGTGCCCAAGCTACCATTAATTCTGTGCCCTTATTTAGCAAGACAGACATCAGAATTTTAGAAGGTAAGCTCATGCTGCTATTTAAACCCTATTTAAAATATTTCTCATGCCAAAAAAGAGGATTCCTTTGACACATTAGCACCAGTTTTTCAATCAGTTCAAAGGTGATCCAGTTAATTTAACAATTTGTTCTGGTATGGAGGATGATTTTTCACTCTCTGTTGCACCAAAAACATTGTTTTTGGAAACCTGCTATCACAGTTACTCAAGAACAAATCCAAGGCTCACACCCTCCCTTTTATGAGAACATATTGCAGAATACAAGAGTAGTAAGATAACACTATAAATATGTTGATGACACATTAACTGGACAGGTATATGTTCAGACTAACACACTGCATTGGAGGCAATCAACACAATTTCAAATTTCAAACATGGAATCAATGTTGAAATAACTAGATGGAAGAATATGAATATTCTGAGGCAATATTAGGTTTGTATAAGTACCCTTAGTACTGCAATTATAAACATCTATTTACATTATTATTTATGGCTATCTACTTCCATGTGCATTATATACAACATATCAAATTATTAAATTGAATGAAACTGTTGCAAGGAGGGAAAGGTGGGGGACTTACCCTGAAGCATTACACTATTGGCCCAAAGGAACCCCTCTTGTAATTCCTCCATCTCTAATTATAAAAAAGTCAATTCCTCTTCTCCATTAGCAATGATGTGTCTTCTGGCCAAACTTCAACTTGCTGCTTTAAGCAATCACAGTAACACAACATAAGCAGCATATAGCAGTGGTGTCTGAATGGAAAGCTAACCCTTTTGCAGAGCATAGAAAAGTTGCTTTTTTGGATTACAGTGCTCAGAGTCCCCTAGCCAGCCATGGTGGTAATTCTAGTCTGAGCAAGTAACTTTTCTATGTTCTCCAGCTATGTTTTCAACATGTGGCATTAATTTTCCTCGAAATACAGAACTGTTACACAGAGGCCATTTATCTGTAAAGTTGGTTCCCTGCAAATCATGATTTAGGAACCAACCTTATGAAAACCAATACTCTTCTCGCCCCATATGTCACCTCTTCAGGACTCTACCTCCACCCACAGCTCTCTTCCCAGCATTTACTGCGATTCTGCATTCCATCTGCATCAACATAAACCTTGATTTACAGTGTTGGCATTGTGCATGCATCATGCCAAGCAATTCCGAACTACAAATATAACTCATTGTCTCCTGTGCTTTCTGTGTGCAAAAAATTCCCCTTCCTATTCTCTTCCTCTGCTAGAAGGGTGTTATCTGAAGTGTTTCTCCTCCCCTTGTTTCCTAATGACTTCAACTCCCAAGGTTTTGTGTTTGGGCAAGACCCCAGTTTCGACTGACAGCAACTCATCTTGTTATCAGAAGCCCTATTTAAACTTGTCCTGAATTTCAGGGCTGCACAGCACTCATTGTCCAGTTCATTGACTGCAAGAAGGAAAGGTGTCACCATGGAAATCCTTCATGACACACACAAAAAAACCCAAAGGAACATACCAGATACTTGCAATACAAGTAGCCTTTCAAGAAAGAACAGAACATCTCATTGAGCATCCCAAAGACTTTTTTTATTTCTCCCGTCATCTTGATGCATGTTTTCTATTAATCATATTTTAAGCTGACAGTAGACTTTGTGCACCTTGCAATTAATTGTTCTTAAAAACTAATGAAAGTGGAACAAAAGAAATGTGATAACATCTGAATAAAAGGAGAAGAAGCAGCTAGCATGAAACTAGTTCTAACCATTTGCAATGTCCAGCTACATGGGCTCTTTCCCTCAATAGTTGTCTTTTAAATATATATGTATGAAGTAGCACCAGAAACATGGAAGTGGGAAGAGCAGGCAAGCCTGCTTCATCCTTTCTGGACTTTGTTCAGAAATTCTTTCATCTCTCCAAAGCTGCATTTCCTACCATAGGGGCAGAAGATAATAAGAAATAATGTATGAAAGCAGCTGAAGGGTGTGATGTTCAGGAGACAAATAGCAGCTCGGTTAAGCTTTAAGCATTTGCTTATCCTGAAAATACTTCTCCGTGCCTGCTTTGCATTACTAAAAAGAGTAGTTCAGTGAAACTGGACCAACAGAACTGAGCACTCAATGTGGAGCTTCAGTCCCAATTTCTCCATACTTGGGCATCGATGTACAAGTTTTTTTTCTAATATGTCACACCCATATCCACTTTGGCTGTCCCATAATTCTTTCTTGATGTGGATGAAACTAAGGAATAATGAGATACTCCAAATACTACAATTTTAATGGATGCAGAAGTATGTCAAATGTACAGATACCCTAAGGGTAATTTCACCCATCTGACAGCTCACCCACAAGAAACAGAGAAACTCCTTTTTGAATGACAGCAGACTGAACAGCAATGTGGTCATGTAAGTGCACCAATATATCCTTGGATGAAGACATAGTACACAAAGGAGAATGTGAGCAGCAATCTAGCTCATGCAATACTAAAACCCATCCTATAATACACATTAGACTCTCTTCCAATGACCCACTCCAAGCCACATTTTAGTTTTTGCCTGTTCGGTCAAAGAAACTCTGAGTAGGAATTTGGTAGCAGCAGTAGAGCATTTGTTGCGTATTAGCTCTGAGATGCAAGAATATACGAATGCTAAACTGGCATTTATGTACAGTTTTGCTGTGTTTTAATATTACCACAAATCACTAATTATAATTTTGCAACCTCTGTCCTAAAGTAAGAATATATTACATCATGCTCAAATTAAATTTCTGTAACAGACTAAAATTATTATGCCTTACATTTTCAGGCTTTAATTGGTTTACCATTTATCAGGCATATCTTAACAGTTCTGGGGCTTCAAGTAATTCTTTAAAATAAAGACAACATCCTGTGTAACTGGACATTTCATGACGCCAAATGTCCTCTTTTTGTCATTCAGATGAATGAAAAAAATAACCAGAAAAATACACATAACAAATAATTTACCCAACCTAAGTTGCATAGCTGAGACGTTTTAGTTGTGCTTTGAAAAAACTAATTATATATTCCTCCCCCAGCTTAGTATTTTGTCACAAGTGATTTGCATTGCTGTCAAATGACGTAGGATCTCTGACCATTTTAGCATCTGCCTGTATACAGAGGTTTAACAGACACTGTTCAAATACTTACAATCACACTTTAAAACTCCATTCCTCAATGGGAAAAAAGCAACTTGGGTTGTTCTGAGGTATCCAGCCCTCAGATAAGCCATGGCTTTGTGCATTAAGCTCTGTTGGTTTATCATATGTTTGCAGATCATGTTAAGAAATAAAGGCACCGGTGTTTCAAAAGGCCCCATACTTAAAATTTACCAACAAATCAAATTTGAGATTGTGCCCCTATATCCCAGGGGTGGCTTCTTCAGAACCCTTCTCAATTGAAGCATTTATTGCTGTTGTAAGGGGACCCGGATAGGTTTGTGCTGTGTTAGGCATTCCTGCTGCCAGACTGATATCTTCAGCACGTTCGCCTTGAGAGCTAAAAGTGGGGCAGGATCTAGTTCGTGCATAGTTTGGATGAGCTCCATTGCTACCCACTACTTCACTCACTGTATTGATAGGTGAATCCCTCCACACCTGCCTTTGCAGCTTTTCTTCTTTATACTTAATGGAATACCAGGCAAGGAAAATGAACAGGAATCCAACACATTTGAGACCAGCTGCGAGCCCAAAGTAGACAAAACGAAATGATGTCACATCGTATTCCCAACATGAGCCTTGCACGCCACACTCTTGTTGCCACAGCATACAGGTGGTATCAATGACGGCTCCAAAATAAATTGGAGTAGGAATGTATGCTGAAAGAAATGGGAAGAGTAAAATCAACTACACTGAATAGTTAACTGTACTGCACAGTAAAGCTTGTTCAACTTTGTTTGACTGACTGCTACTTAATAAAGGCGAAAACATATTTAAGGAAAACAACATATACAGAATCAAAGAAAAGGACAGAGTGTCATATGGATAAGATGTAGATAAAGTAACTGGTTAAGAAATGAATTGAATGATTAAATTTAATAAGGCAACCTATTTGATAAGGTCTCATGACAAGCCCAGCATCAAAAATCTAATTTCCAGTTATGCATTTTATGCTTAATAGTATTTGTGTTTCAACCCAGAATAAACTGTGATTTATTGTAATGTCAGTAAGACTAGTCTTTCTCACCTGTACTCCGCCCTCACATTTTCTTCTCCAGTACAAGTGTAAATTTAAAAGCTTTCACCTCCAATTTCAGATATCAAAGTTTAGTGTTAACCATGGTTTATGGAGCTGTTTTTTCTTCAAACAGACCATAGTTAAGATGAATCACATTTTGCAGTTAATCAGAAATGAAAGCAAACACTGAATCTTGTCCACCTTATGGAAGCACTAAAACCAGAGTGGGGAGGAAATAAATGATTTTATTGTTGTGGCTGGATGCAGTCAATGTGAGCCTGGCAGGCATAAGATGCCCTGTTTGCCTCTACACTTACCAAGGGTTCTTAATAAAACAAATTGCATTCCAAGTGCAAAAGGCCTCTCACCATCTTCCACAGACCTAGAAAAGAAAATTATACTTTAAAGCCTTGAAGGCATATATGGTTAAAAATATATTTAGCTTTTTAAAAAATGTATTCCCCTCCTTATCCTGTATTAGCTAAGAGTGTGAGCCTACTGATTCACACACCAACTAACACCCAGAGAGTGAGCAGAGACAGGCAAATCCAGAAAGTCAATTTAATCTTCACGTATCAAGATGGAAAAAAAGAGAAACCAAACCAAGAGAGTGAGTGAGTTATGGGCCTTTTTTCACCCCGGTGAGAATTCTAATATACTGACGGTCAGTATTAATGATGCAGTCAGGGTTTCATGCACACTTCTTGTATTCTGTTAACCAAAGAGCAGCACATGTCATTTTTGTCCCAATAAGTTACTTCTTTGACTGGGACAAAGAAATACCCTGACAAAAAATAATACGTATGATGCTTTCCTTTTCTTTTTTTGGTTCCACCTGGTTTTCATATGGTTAAAACTCAGCATCCTTGCAGAACATTATGGGTGACTGAGTAAGCACCTGCTTATTGTATGCTGCACAGTAGCAGGCAACACTGCAAGGGCCACATGAAACGGCCTGGCAGGCTGGAGTCAGACCACTGGCCTTGAGTTTGACACATGTGCTTTAAGATGTCTGTTTGCTGTTTTTGCAGCAACAGACTAACACAGCTAACCACTTGGGAAGATCTCAAGCAAACTCTTAAGTGGTTTCATCTGCTACTGTGCAATGCCTCCCTTTATCCCTATCCTATGTGAAGGGAGCACACATAACAGCAAAAGGGTATATGCAAGGTAGCAGTCATGATTCATTATCAGACAGGTGAGGGTGAGACATATCTGCTGGCAATAATATACCAAGCCGAACAGAGCAGATCTCCTATAAATTGACACTTAAGAGTTACCATAGAACCCATATCCTCTTGTGATAGTGTAACGAGCCAGGCAGCTCTAACCTGAGTGTCACTATGATGGCCGATGGCTGGGCACAGGCTGTGATCAGCGTGACTATGAAAAGGAAAATGAGGAATGGGATGAGCGTATTGCAGGTTCGATTACACTTCCCAGACACGGCATAGCCATTCTCGTTAAGATATGTTTTGACTATCACAACTCTTAGCTGGCTGCGCTGCCCAACTGTTGGGGGTGTGATTACTTGTCGGCTTTGGACACAGGCACAATCTGTATAATTTCTTATCTGTGAAATGAAGATGAAACACAAAGATACCAGGTTTGCAATTCTATAAGAAAATGTTATATCAATACAGTAGGCTATAGACAAAGGAACACATAGGCCAAAATCCTGTTGCTCGGTTTCATGTGCACAATGAAGATGATGACAGGAGCAGCAAATCACCACTCATCAAAGGTAAATAGCAGCTAGTGAGTTCAGAGTGCATGCCACGCATACAAAATCCAAAATCATTAGAGGAAGTTTTTAATCAGTGGTGATTTGCTGCAGCTAATGGCATTGTCCCTGTTGCACACACAGAGGTGCACAACAGGATTTCAGCCATTATGAAACAAAACAGGTTTCTCAAACATTCTGTATTTGTCATATAAAACTAATGAAGGGTCTGGGTGTATGTGAATGAGAATTAGGAGAAAGCATTGAGCACACACACCCTTTTCACTCTCTACAGCCCCAAGAAAAATTCCTCCAAGAGTGTCCTTAAAAATAGCTTTTGGAAGTAATTACTTGTTATTTGTTACATCTGAAGAGCAATTTTGTAACTGCTAGTTGCATTTCTTGCTACCCCAAAATAACACATTATAAGTAACTAATTGTGACCAACAGTTCCAAACCGGGGCAATCTTTCTTGTATACATGTCTTTCTTTACAAACTGAACATACGCAGGCTGGTTTCTTGTAGACATACTCACGCCCATGCTATGGTTTCCACTACTGATGCAACCAGCCAGGCAAGGATTGAAATACGTAATTCCATCTGACCCGCACACAGGTTCATATTCATGGATTTTACAGCCACAATTGACATTACAGCTTCCAGTCAGATTCCTATGAGCCATGGTGAGAGTCGGACTATTAAAAAAGGAGATCATAATGAGAATTAATCAAAGAAAATGTGAGACAACCAAAAAACTTCAGAAATTATTTTCTCTGAAATAATGCAGTTACAAGATACGATGCCGACGATTAATTTCTGTCCATATAGATTCTCACCTAATGCAGAAAGACCAGTGTTTGCCATGATAAGCACTCACAGCATAATTAAGTAAATAGGAGATACACAGAAAAACATGAAAACTCTGGATAGAAGCACAATAGAGTGAAGCTCCTGACCAAGATCCACTTCATCCTCCTGTTAAGCTTAAGGTTTACCTGATGCCAAATGAACACCGGTGTTTGAAGAAGGTAGGTAACAAACAAAAAAAGACTACTTTCTTAAATAAAACTACATTGCTTGTACACATATGGACAAGTTACAGATTCCTTTGAAAATATATATATAGATACCAAAATATGGAAATTCAGAATATTAAAAATAGCTTTCTACTGTTGCATACGTTGGTGAGATATTAAATTCTTGTGAACACTGAAGAAAAAAATAGTACAGAGATTCTGACTGATAGTTTTTGGAAAAGATTTAATTTTTTTCTTTTAAAATTATCATTAATCATTGTACTCATGGGATCACAGAATAATTTATGTTGTACCCTGAAGCCAACAGTGTCCAGCAACACTGCCTATTTCTTAAGTATAGAAGTATATAGTATTGCTTTTCTAGACAGTTATTATCAAAAATATTTTTGAACTTTGTATGTTTCTTTACACTTTATTAAATACATTTCTTGGCTATCTGTGTACTCCTGATGTTAGAACTATACTGTAGATTTGCTTCCATACAGTACTTCAGACTACCTAGAACAGATCAACTGACATCTGGCATAGTTATTATGACTAATGAAAATGCATTCATTTCATTGGTCTACTTTGTGTTACTGCTTCTAGATCCAGAATCTGCCTTCTGCTAATGGAAGGGGGCTAGCTCATTAACCTTGGCTTCATCCAATTTTGGGTGAATCAGATGCTGCTATGGCCCACTGCACATTCTGGGTCACCTGGACCACTGCAGGATGCTTCATCCTCATTCGGAGAAGCTATGCGCCTTAATCTGGATCCACTTCATTAAATTTATTTATTATATTCTTTTCCCCCCCACAAACAAACAAAGTATTCAAGGCAGTTAACAGTTCTAAAATACAAAAAGATACTATAGAGGTTCCAACTGATTTTTCAGAAGTCTGAATATATGTTTCTTTTAAAACTACCATTAATCATTATTCTTATGGGATCACAGAACTGATTAAAACATAACATCAAATCCAATCAGTTAAAAGCACAATAGAAGCTAGCAGCCAAGTAGTTAAACCCCCTTCCAGCAACAGATCAATTTATATGCAAAGGCTTTTCTGAATGAAAAGGTCTTTGCCTGCCTATGGGACAAGATAAATGGTACTTTAATATTCACAATAATAGACTGAAATATGAGCAAGATTTTGTAATGTTATGGCAAAAAACAAACAAACAAACACCTAACACACAAAAGAGCCCTTCTTACACCTACATCAGAGATACTCAAGAGAAAACCTAATGCCTGAGATGGGTGGGGACAATAAAAGGGATTATAACCTTCTCAGTAAACAAATAATATGCTATAAAACATCAAACCTTTTCAATAGCTGTTTATTTTTGGTATAGTTCAATGTTATTTAAATAAATAGATAAGACCTGGTTACTGTACTTATGTAATTATGGTTCTTTGAGTGGTAAAGCTCTTACAGATCTTGCAGGACTAAACTAAATGAGCTTTGCCTAGGCAAAATAAGCAAGTCTCATGCTCAGCAGACAGGGGAATCTTTTTGCCACAAGTGACACACTTTTTCATTAGAGCAGTGGCCATAAATTGTTGGAAAAAGTGGGAATAGCAAAGCCATTGAGGTAAAAAGGGGGGCATAAATCCTCTAGGAACTAGCACACTCTCTCTCTTTCTCTCCCCTCCCCCTTTTTTTTAACAGAGATGAAAGAACAAAGGAGAAGGAAAAAGGCTAAGGCACTCTTGTTTTTGAGTCTCTGGAACTTTCCAAAGCAGTGTTGTGCAGGAACACACACACATTTTGTGTGCATACATGGACACCACAAAAAAGAATAAAGAGAATACATAAGTGAAAAAATATTTTGAATTGTCTCTACTTTTAGATGTATTTGGAATCATCCCTTTGCTCTGAATTACAAATAAATAATGGGCTGGATTTCCAAATGAGCCCTGCATTATCTATGCAATTTTGAAAGCAACTCTGTGCTTCTAGCATTTGCCATCAATGTAACAAAAACAGCTTGGGAAAGTGACTTTTTTGGGACTACAAGATGCTGAGTAGGATACTTTGGAAGTTGTCATAAAAATGTGACTTTTGCAAATTCTGATAATACCACACATGGAATGGAACATAAAAGATGGGGCCAGTCTTAGGTTTGCACTATTTCAAAGGCCTTGTAAGCACATGGATACTCAAACAAAGGGAATTCTCCAGACGTTTCGTCCACTGCAGCTCCCAAGATCCCCCAAAAGCGACTCAGGAGACCTCAGGTAATGCCTGGAAGATGCTGGCATGGTGCAATCATGATTATTATTTTTAAAAAAACACAGAAAGATAGCAATGAATATGATCTACTTGTTAACTCTGATGGAGGCGACATTAACTCATGAAAAGAATGACACAGGTCTACCATGCCCCACCAAATCAATTCTGACTTATGGTGACCCTTTTCAGGGTTTTCCAGGTACAGACTACCCAAAAGGGATTTACTATTCCCTTCTTCTGGGGGCCCATGGGACTGTACAGCTTCCCCAAGGCCATACCGCCTAGCTCTACTCATAGGAGACACACTGGGGAATTGAACACCCAACCTCTAGCTCCATAGCCACATACCTAAACCACTGAGCTATTCATGCAGTCTACTTTCCTAAAAATGACTCTTTCATTTTAATTGACTTCTGCTTTTAGATTATTTTTCAAGGTGAAGTAAAGCAAGCTGAAGCTGCCGTGCCTGGTGCTTTAACAACTGGCATGACAGCTGACTTCTGGCTGCCCTCTGGAACATTTTGAGAGTTCTTGAGGCTTGTCGCTTAGCAGTCAGATACAGCTGCAGCTACAGCACATGTTTGAACATATACAACTTGTAAACAACAGACTCCTCATTACTATGTTTGCTTGTAAACAGACAGCTCATTCCCAAAACTTTTCTATTTTTATTCTCCCACTTGCCAAAGTATATAGCTTTGCACAGCCTAGAAGTTCTTTAGACAACCTCCCTATCCTGAGACTTTTTAGCACGCACACACGTAGATACTTTGTCTTTCAATCCACCAACCTACCTCTACAGCCATTCCGTCATCCACCTATTTCTCCCATTGTGTTATTCTCTCATTCTGATTCCCCTTCTAGGTACCCTTTCTCTACACTTAGGAAATGATAGGTTACCCACCTGTAATTGTAGTTCTTTGAGTGGACCTCTGAGATTAACACTCTGAGTGATCCGTGCCTGCACGGAACCTCATCGGAAAGTTCTAGAGCTTCTGTGGTAGCAAAAAACACATTAGAATGAGGCCCCTTCTGCCTCATATAATTACCTTGGCGCCAAGGCTCCCCTTTCAGTTGTGTCAACCACCGCTACATTAAGCAGAATGGCGTGACAGTGCGGAGGACAGACGGGATGTATGAATCAGAGGTTCACTCGAAGAACCACAGTTACAGGTGGGTAACCTGTCGTTCTTCTTCATGGCCTCTGTGAATCACATTCTGGGTGACTAAAAAGCTGTCTTACCCGGAGGCAGGTTGTCACACCAAGGTAGAGGCTAGAACAGGATGTCCAAAGGCCGCATCAGACTTCTGCCGGAGATCAAGTATATAATGCCGGATGAAAGTGGACAGCTCTGCCCAGGTGGCAGAGGTGCAGATATCCGGAAGAGGTACGCCGCGTAGGAATGCCGTAGAGATCGCCACTGCTCTGCTGGAGTGAGGGCGAATCACCTTCAGGACTGGTTTGCATGCCAGCTGATACGCGAGGTGAATGGTTGAAGCGACCCATCTAGATATAGTTTGAGATGTCCCCTGGCAACCTTTAGTAGGTGGTTGGTGACTTATGAAAAGTCGAGGTGAACGCCTGAAAAGTTGGGTGTGTTGGACGTAAAAGGCAAGGGCTCGCCTAACATCTAAAGTATGGAAGATTCTTTCTTGGGTTGTGGACAGTGCCGGGAAGAAGGAGGGAAGGGTAAATGGCTGAGAGAGATGGAACTGAGATACGACTTTGGGGAGGAAAGAAATATCCATGGATAGTTTGACTTAGTCCAGAAAAAACTGTAAATAAGGATAGTTGTGACGTAAGGCCACTAACTCACTAGCTTGTCGCACTGAGGTGATGGCAACGAGGAAAACTGTTTTAATGGTAAGTATCCGTAAATCAGTTGAAGCTAAATGTTTGAAAGGAGCTTTAGTAAGTTGTTGCAGTACTAGTGTTAGTGACCATTGCAGGGAAGGCGGGCGGGTATTTGGCTAGATATGAGATAGACCTTTAAGAAAGTGTTTCAATGTTAGATGCTTGAAGAAATCAGCTGCCAGAGAGTTAGGGGGCTAATAAGAAGCTATGGCAGAGAGGTAAACTCTCAAGGAAGAGAAGGAAAGGTCGCTAGACTTGAGATGAAGCAAAAAACGTAGAACGGTAGCAAGTGATGGGTTGATAGAAAGCAATGAAGAAGCTTCAGTGAAAGATTTGAATCTGTTCCCTTTATACAGGTAAGCCTTCCTAGTGGAGGGCTTCTTTGATTGATGGAGGACATTCATTAGTGAGGCGGAATCCTCCATGCTGCCAGGTGCAGAAGTAAGTCTGGATGGATTACTTGGGCGTTGTTCTGCATGAGGAGGTGGGGCAGGCGAGGGAGGTGGTGATTGTCTGATGAGAGATTGTTGTTGTCTCGGCCACCAAGGGGCTATAACGATGGCATCAGGTTTGTCTTGTTCTAG